AGAAATAAATATTTTGTCTTCATTCCTGTTTCAGGCACAGAGACCTTAAACCAGCCGTGGGCAAACTACGGCCCATGGGCCGGATATGGCCCGTTTGAAATGAATAAAACTAAAAAATAAAAAAGACCGTACCCTTTTATGTAATGATGTTTACTTGGAATTTATATTAGTTCACACAAACACTCCATCCATGCTTTTGTTCCGGCCCTCGGTCCAGTTTAAGAACCCACTGTGGCCCTCGAGTCAAAAAGTTTGCCCACCCCTGGTTTAGCCCCAAGCTATCTCTTCTTGCAAAACCAAGTATAAAGCAGTGGGTTTGGGTACTGGCAGAGTATCATCCTATCCCCCAGATTGTTAGCCCAGTGCAGTTTCCAACACTCACTCACAGTCACTTGGGACATTAGAAAAATACACTGGTTCTAGAGATTCTGGGTCAGTTGGTCGGGATCTAGCTTAAGTGATACTAACGTGGAACTAGGGCTGACCACCACTGGGCTGATGCTGCCTTTTAGCTGATAAGCTAACTAACTCTAACAGCGAAATAGAGCCCTAGCCGATTTTGCTCAGTGGCTAGAGCATCAGCCTGCAGACCAAAAGGTCCTGGGTTTGATTCCAGGTTCGTGCAGGAGGCAACCAATCAATGTGTTTCTCTCACGTCGATGTTTCTCTTCCACTCTCCCTAAAAATCAATGGAAAAATATCCTTGGGTGAGGATTAACTAAAAAAGAAAGCAAAATAGATATGCCATGAACTTATCCTGGGATTGTAAACAGATACACACTTTCTTGAAGACAATTTGCCTTTAAATATGATGCTTCGTGTAGGCATTTATAAAGAGGAAACAAACTTTAAAAAATGAAAAGTTTCTAGTTTTCCTAGTTAAATGTTAGATATTCTACAATTCGTAAAATAGGGTAGTATAGTCTTTAAATTATGATGTAGAATGTTTTCACATGGCAAAATATGCTACAATGGAAAACGTAATGTATATACAGTATGCTTGCATCTTGAAAAACAAATTGGAAAGCTATTATCACTAATAGAATTACTGTTACTTTGCTTTTTTATATTTAGATCAGCAAACAAAAAACAGTTACTACTGTTTTTACTTACCATTTTATTTTCTGGCTCTTCTGCATTCTTTGCTTTCTTTATAGTAACTTGAACTTTATACTTTTTCTCAATCCACTGCTGAATCTGTTTACTCTTTGTGTCCAAATCATGTTGTCCAATATTTGAAGAAAAAATTAGTTCCTTTGTCAGAGTAGGTCCTAGTTTGAAACAGTGAGACTTGGTGCTAGGACCATTTATTACCCTGTTATTAGACTAACATCACCACATATAATTCAGAAAATCTTAGGTTGCCACAGCAGCCCTAACAGTCCTCTCACATGACTAGTTTTACAAACCATTAAACACTTTTTAAAAATAGGAGACAAACAGGTACCATTTTTTTTGCCTGTCAAGGGCATTTAAATATAAAATGTCTCCATTTATTGTCATCATTTGATGAAAGAACATGAAAAGAATGGTCCTTTAAAGGGAACAAGCTTAACTTTATAGTAAACTTAATTATTGTTTTTCTTTTGGGTGTGGATCGGTCTGGGAAATACTATTGTCATCTTATTCTTCTGTGATACCCTCCTAGCTACAGTGGAATCATCCAGACTATCCTGCATTCATTCATTCAATCTACTTTGGAAATCACAATTATTAGAAAACTAGAGGCCCAGTGCATGAAATTCGTGCATGGGTAGGGTCCCTAGGCCTGGCTGGCAATTAGGGCTGATCGGGGCCTTCTGGCTGCCAGCTGGGTCCTCCCTTCCCCGGCAGCCAGCCAGGGCTTTCCTTCATTCTGCACCGCCCCCTGGTGGTCAGCACCCATCATAGCGAGCGATCAAATTCCAGGTCTCCCAGTTGAACTCCCAAGGGGACAATTTGCATATAAGGCATATATATATATATCATTTTACAGGGAAGGAACAGACTACTCATTAAATGCATTCAGACAATTGAGAGTTTTCATATGGGAGGAAAAGTTCGGTTTTAACCCATACAAAAATCTCCCCATATGTACTATCTTAATGTAGGAAAAAAACACTTTAATACAAGTAGAAAAGAATGGATATGTTTATGACTTCACAAGGGAAAAACAAAAGTGAAAAATCTAACTAGGATAAGGTTTTTGCTTCATACAGAACAAAGAATCCTATAAATCAGGAAGAAAAATAAACCATCAAAGAAAGAAAAAAGGAATATGAATAGGCAATTTGTAGAAGAGGAAACTCAATTGGTGAAAGGAACTACAAATTAAAACAGAATACGGCTTCTCACCCATAAGCATGACAAAAATTAGAGTCTGACAGTACCGAGTGTGGGTGAGAATGGAGAGAAATATTCATATACTGCATGCTGATTTGCCCCATAGGAACTGAGCATGCACAAGGAGATACTGATACATGCATAGACCCATTGTAATAATGAAAACTAGAAGCAAGCCCAATGGCCAGGGAACTGGACTAACAAAGCTATAGTACATGCTTATGATGAAAAGTCACTTGGTAACTATATTTAGCTATAGCTATTATATAAACATCTTGAAAACAATAGTGTGCCCTTTATAATTTTATGCATACAAAATTATTTATATACTGTTTGTGACTGTATCTGTAATGAGTTTAACAACATGGACTGGATCTACACTCTGAGTCTATGAGTGAGTGGGGGCCTTTGGAGAAGAAGGATGGAACAGGAGAAGGGAGCACAGGACTTCAACTTTTCTGTAATGTTTTGTTTAAGAAATCTGGAGTATGACAATGTTAATGCTTGTTTATTTTGTATAAGAGTTGCTTATTTTTCTGCTTCTAATTTCCAAAATAAAGGTAATTCTAAAAAAGAGTTCTTCTATTAACACCTTCTTGCTCCCTTAAAGCCACAATCAGTTGGTCCTAGTTTCCTATCAGGACAAAGTCATGGCTTTGACAATCTCTGAACACAGCAAGGTGTCTTCTCCAACCTGTCAATTTTTTTTCATAGACATAGTTTGATGACCTTATGCTCCTCATTGGCCTCTTTTGAAAATCTGTTTTCCAGTCAGCATCCTTGTTAAATATTGCGGACAGATCACGAGAATTCTCGTGTTTTCTGTTCTAAGGCTTATGGCCAACCACGAGAATTCTTTAAAAAGATATTAGCTTGTAAGAACATGTAATAACTTCAAAGTGCAATGGGTATTTAATTTTAGAGCGTGCCTTTAACATTTATGTAAAACATTTTTTGTACTCGTTCAATGGAAACTTATCTGGCCTCTGGGTGTAGCTAGCAATAAAACTACTGGTCCGCAACATGTTAAGTGTGGTACAAACAGAGCCACAGACTACGTGTGACTTTCTTAAGACACACAACCTCACTGGGACTTAGTCTTCTGACCCCTACTCCAGTGCCTTTTCCATTGAACAACCTTTCATAATGATCAGTAATAATTAAAAGTCATGAAAAACCAAAATTAATGCCTTGTAAGGTGATTGGCAAAATATGTAAATAAGTGTTACTACCAGTATTTTAACAAAATACTCAGGCATAGATGCTCTATGAATCACTTCTGAGTTTAAAAAGTGCCTCTGGGGAATTAGCCAAACACCTCCACTTTGAGATGAGATTTTTTTTTTTAAAGGAGGGTAAATGAGTGGTTCAGGAGAGGAATAGGAACTTGAATCTATCTCTTCTGAGTCTCATTACATTACACCCATCAGTTACTCTGCCTGCTGGGGCATTAGGAGACAAAGCTAAGAGGAAAGGGAAAAGATTTCCTATTTTGGTGGTGTTTACCTTGTTTTTCCCCATTTTACATAGGTTTATAAAAAGGTGATCGACACAGGATACAAGGAAAATTTAAAAAGGAACAGAAATGAGGGGTGAAAAAAGCATCGGAAACTGGTGAAACTGAATTTTCGTTTTTCAACCCATTGTCACAGGCATCGTAGCAAATGCCCAATTTAAACTGCTGATTATAGTCTTAAGGAATTCAAGGGGCAAAGAGCAAACTACCTACCAGTCTTAGGTCTGGCCTTTTCCCTCTCTCTCAGTCTCAGCCGCTCTTGGTGAATCTGTGTGCCTGTCATGAGCTGGTACTCGGGAGGGTCTGTGCTGGGCTTCCTTTTCACAAGTCGCAGATTTCGCTCGTCCATAAGTCGAATCACGTCTGCTCGGTGCATGTTCCCCAAATCATTGCCCTTCTCATCAAATACATGAATGATTCGCTCACTAATTTTTCTTCCAATGTTACTAAAATCAGTTTCATTATTTTTTCTCTTTTTTCTTTCATGCTGGGAGTCTTCAACAGTACTAAAAGCTTTTGCATGGATTAGGTAGGACAGTCTTGGGACAGCAGTAAGGGGCAATTGTGCTAGTGCCATCTTTTGCATGATGTATTTACCCAAACATCTTCTAAGACAGTTATTTTCAGTCTTTATGGTTTGTAATATTATTGACCTTAGAAAAACAGCAGCCATCCTAAAAAGTAGGGAGAACACTTGATTAAAATTAAATCATTTATTCTTGTGGTTTGATATTGTGGTACAAGAAGGGTGTGTGTGTGAGGCTGTGGAAACTATGGCATCTGTGAATGTTTTGGATCTGTGTATAGAAAATTTACACAAATAGTACGGCCCATCAGGTGACCATGTTCACACTCATGGTAGTACTGTCCCCAATATGTTATTGTTAGAATAAATATTTGCACAGTGCACTTTTCTTCATTAAATAGTATTTCATTTGATTCTATTTCCCATGGATCTTGTAGTGCCAACTTCAAAAGCAAAATCTGGAGGATTTATTTGGGAGGAAGCAGTATATAAAATATTTGGTGATTCATAAACACCAAGTCATAAACATTTTTCTTTGTTTTTTTAAAAATATGTTTTTATTGATTTCAGAGAGGGAGAGAGTGAGATAGAAACATCAATGATGAGAGTGAGTCATTAGCCAGCTGGAATCACATGCGCAGTACTGGAGATGGAGCCTATAACCTGGGCATGTGCCCTGACCAGGAATCGAACGTGATCTCCTGGTTCATAGGTCGGTGCTCAACCACTCACAACAGCCAGACCAATTCATAAACATTTAATACACTTAACAATTTGTCAATATATTTGATGGTACACAAAATATAAGAGCACTATTATGGGAAAGTGGACTCTTCATGAAGAAAGCTGACCCACTAGAACAGTGGTTCTCAACCTTGGCTGCACATTAGAATCACCTGGGAATCTTTTTAAAATCCTGATTTCTGGGCCTCATCCTCCGGAAATTCTGTTTCTTTGTTACTAATGTTGTGGCCCCACCCCATAACAAATATTTATTTCCATTTAATAAATTAATTGCTGTATAAGTTTCAATACTAGTTAATTTTTGGCTTTAGATCAGCAAAGTTGAAGGTGTACACACTCCTTCAAAATAAGCTTTTAATAGATAAAATTATAAATACAAAGTAAAGAAAAATGTGTTATTAAATTTGAACTGCAAATATCCACAGAAACTCAAATAATTACAAAAGCTTTTATTAGGAAATTTTTGAAACATTCACAGAAAGAATAGTATAATAAGACCTAATCACCCATCATTACCACTATGTGGCCAAGCTTGTTTCATCTCTACCCTCAACTATTCCTGTTCCCACCCATCCATGAACTATTTCAAAGTAAATCTTATCTCATCAGTACATACTTCAGTTTGTCATCTCTAAGAAATAAGGTCTTTTGTACTTTTTAAAATAACCACAATAACATTACCCCAACTAATAAACATCCCTTTATATCATTAGACATCCAGTTTTCAGATTTCCCTGACAGTATTATAATTCTGCTTGTATACATTTCATTTACAGTTTGGTAACATGAGAGCCTGGCCACAGGTGTTATAATTTAAACGATGACTAAAATTCATTTCAACAAATAAGCAAAAATCTACTTTAAAAAAAAAGATAATTTGCCATAACTATTACCCTGACTTCTTACTTTGAAAATGGTAAAGAACTAAGCATGTATCCTACCTTTTTAGGAAAAACTAGAAATATCTCCAGCTGATGAAGAAAAGCTCTTCTTCAGAAGAGAATGCCATCTAATAAATGGAGAAGTAAAAATAATTTGAAAACCACCATTTTGCCACTGCCAATCAAATCTCTGATTCAGAGAAGGATGGATACAAAAATTATCAGGTAAAAGGCTGGTGAGGAAATAAGGTATACAAACGGTGCCAAAGGGTGACCCTAAGATGACTTCTAAATTGAAATGGGAAAAAAACACTCTGGTTGTCACCTGATAACCAAAGGTCAAACTCAGCATCCTGACAACGGGACGACGTGATATCCTAGCACACAGTTCCAGTGTGACTTGGCTTCTGTAGGCACCGTCTGTGAAGCAGTCCTGCCAAAGGTTAACCTGAACCCAGCCCAACCTCCAGACTTAGTTTTTCAGTTTCCAAGTAATACCAGGGCCAGACTCAGAGCAGAACAAATTAAACCACAGGAAGCAATCAGACAAATCTAGAGTGTGAGACAAGACAGCTGGCATGGTATCTTAAAAAAAGTTAGTGTCTTTGGGAAAGAAAGGGTTGGGGGAGGCTATTCTTGAATGAAAGGACTAAGGAGACATAATTGGAAAATGCAGTGTGTTTGAACAAAAGCAACTAAAAAGACATTGGAATAACTTTGTTTGTTCGAATAATTAAAAAAATAAAAAAGAATAAAAAGATATTGGAATAAAGGGAAAATCCGAATATAGCCTAGATTCATGATGGATTATACTCTCAGGGAAGTACTGTTAATATTTAGGTGTGAAAATGTCATTCTTAGGAAATGAATGCTGGAGTATTAGGGTAGAGTCTCATGACTTCTGCCATTTACTTTGAAATGGTTCAGCGGGAAATATAGCAATTATGGCAACATTTGCTGAATCTAGTTTATGGGTGTTTAGTTATTAGTTTTTTTCACTTTCTGTATGTTTTTCATAATTAAAAAGTTTCTTAAAAAAAAAGAATCAACAGCCTATGGAGTGGAAAAAATTCACTAGTTGTGCCAACAGTTAAAAGTTAACATGTCTATTTTAGAGCAGAAACAGGAAGTCTACCAGCATCATCTGGGGATGCTTTTTCACAACACAAGATGTTTCATCCCTCCTCTACTGTTAAGAACTACGGGGTTAGGCTGCCCTCTAAAAAAAGATGACAAAAGAAAAAAAAAGTAAGTAATAAATATTGTAATGTAAGTGAGTTCAAGTACTTTAAGCTAGAATGTCTGGGATTACCCTTAACTTTTCTTTTTTTAAATTAAATCTTTATTGTTCAAATCATTACAGTTGTTCCTCTTTTTTCACCCCATAGCTCCCCTCCACCCAGTTCCCACCCTACCCTCTGCCCTTACCCCCTCCCCCCCCCACTGTCCTCATCCACAGGTGTAGGATTTTTGTCCAGTCTCTTCCCGCACCACCACACACACACTCCTTTCCCTCCGAGAAATGTCAGTTC